AAAAAAACTTACGGTATCATCAAAGTCAACTTTCTTTTGTTTCTCTAAAATGAAATGCACTAATTAAAATCAATTGCTGAACTGCTTTTTTGGCTGTATTTAAGCACTAAACATTGAGCCTTGGTAGAACAAGATTGGTTGGACTAGAAAACCTCCAATGTCCCTTCCAACCCTATTATTCTACACTCTAAGATCCTAAACAATAGAAAAGAGTATCTGTAGTTCAATTGTGGAGTCCTTGGGGTCCTCTGAGCTTAATTGCTTGCTTGCAGCTACCATATCTGGTAACATCTTTATGCTAGAAGGGACAGAAGTTTGCCCTCTGTTTAAGTACAGTAGTTTGGCCTATTAATGTTGGTAGGTGTGTTGCTTCTTTATAGTTCCTTGATTAGGTTTTATTTACTATTTGTTTATCTGAGTTGGTGTCCTTATTCTTTGATTAGAGCATTATATACTGCTTGTTTGTATGATGATAATCATGATGTCAGTTCTTACTTATCTAGGTGTTGATTGATTGATTGCTGGCCAGAAATTTCCTAGAATTTACGGATTTAGCTTGGTTTTGGATGCTCACATTTCCACAATTGAAAGCATGATTAAATCTGCCCATGTGTTTGTTGTGTAATTAAAGATATTTTATCAGGTCTTCTGACTATAAGTTGGTATTCATGGATGTGCTCAACCACCAACAGGCATATTTACATCGAAACTTTGATAAGACAATAAAAAAAGCTTCATCAAAAAGACAAACACACAAAATAACTCTTTGCTTGTAACCAACATCCGGAAAACAGAAACACCAGGATCAACAACAGGCAAACAGTCCAACAGTATACAACAGCCTAATCAAGGACACCAACACTGACAGAGAAAGCTACTGTACGTAAACAGAGAGCAAATCCCATTCCCTTCTAGCACTGAAGATGTTATGTGATTGGTAACAATCAAACAACCAAGTCAGAGAGCACCAAGGACACCATGGTTAATCCTAAACATCTAGCCATGGGTTTTTTTTTCCTTCTGGACTTGTGTTTTACCCTGAACAATCCTCATTATTATAAATTTTCATTACAGACGATGAATAAAATTTGACATAAACAAATACAGGACAAATAAAGGAGAGGTAGATAAATTTGTACTGTTGGCAGAACAAACTTACCTCTATGCTTTAGAAAACAAAGAGGTGGGTTGGAATATATATTAAATCCACGTGAATCGCCTTAGCTTTCATTTCAATTAGCTATGGGATAAGCTTTTAACTTGGTAACAAAGACATCAGTAATGACAAGGCATTTATAAGGCTTCTTTACAAGAAGGTATTGATATTTCTTGGCTGCCAGCACTTAGGCAAACATTCAAATGAACACTTAGTCATTGTTCTTACAGAAAAACTCAAAGCGGTCCCAGACTTATACTCCATCAAATAGATCAGTGGTCCCCAACCCCCGGTCCGCGGACCGGTGCCGGGCCGTGGAGTACCGGGCCCCGGGCCGCGCAGCGGCCGGGGGCCATGATCGCTGCAGCGGCCAGGGGCCATGATCGCTGCAGCGCAAAGGCTCCTGGGCCGTG